CCCCCAAAAAAAATTAAGTTTGTTTTTAAAAAATATTTTCAATTTCAAAAATTATTTTCTACTCTAGTAAAAATAAAAGAAATTTTTCAAAAACATTTTTCATTCATAAATCAAACACTAAAAATCTTTTTTGGAAAATATTTTCTACTCACCAACCAAACATGAGAAAATAAGTCAAAAATCAACTTGTTTTCCAAGAAAACATTTTCTAGGAAAACATTTTCCTTCATACCAAACACACCCTAAGTTGATTTTAGTTTTTGAGCAACCTACTTTAAGTTGATTTTAGTTTTTAAAAGTGTTTGACAAAGTTAAAAATAATTTAAAATAAATTTAAAATAACTTAAAATAAGTTAAAAATCAAAAACTTACTTTTATTTTTTAACTTTTTTTGACTTAAAAACTATATTTTTCAACCAGTCCAAACATGCTCTAAGAAGGGAGATAAGGGTCTATTTTGGTGAAAAGACAAAACTTCATGAAAGTTTAACGTTGGATGTGTGTCTGTAAACATAATACATAAATATGTTATTTAAGTTGACTTCAACTTACATTTATGTCTTTCAGCTTTGAGTGTGCATAATGTTGGGAAAGGCAAGCACAAAATAAATATGCACGACAGGGTTATAGCGGAAGAAAACCCAAGTCAAAACTTTTCCTTCTACTTGAACCAAGAGAAGACAAAATAATGCAAGAAAAACAATTTGGGGCAGCAAACAAATCAACCAAGCAAGAAAATAAATCAACACATGAGACACAAAAGTTTAACGTGGAAAATCTCTTCGGTGTGAAGAGTAAAAACCACAAGGCCAAAGCTCCACTATAATCAACAAGAGTTACAAAAGTGTTCTCCAAAATGGTCACCAACAAAGTGCCAAACAATGAGCAACACAACTACAAGATAGCACCAAAAACTAGAGAAAGAAAAGAAGCAAAAACACCAAACCGCAGCTACTGTTCACGAGCTAAATTCTGGAGCTACAGGACTCCAAATCACCCTCTCTCAGTTCCCAATTAAATATTAAGTTATAAAAAATAAGCTGTCCAAAAACCAGTTCAATTGAACAAGAAACGAAGCGGGAATCGCGATTTGAAATTAGCTGCTAAGGCTTGTGCGAAAATCTGCTTTCTCTCACTATTCTCTCTATATGGTTGCTCTCAAACTCTTGTGATTCTTCTCAAATAAGACCTAAAACAAAGTTTACATATGCTCCATAATATTGGGCTTATGGACAAAAGTGGGCTAGTCAAATTTGAACTAAATTTATCCACAAAGGAAAGGAAGGAAGACCCAAAACCTTGGACTTTTATTTATCCACATAGGAAGGGAAAAAGGCCCAAAACCCAATAATTCTCCCCCTACCGACTATGTGGAGGAAACCACCATCCCGTCGATCATGCAACATTCTTCAAACTTCCCTCTTGGCAAAGCTTTAGTCATCATGTCGGAACCATTATTATTGGTATGGATTTTTTCAAGTTCAAGCAACTTAGAATCCAACACATCTCGAATCTAATGATACCTCACATCAATGTGTTTAGACCGACCATGAAATGTAGAATTCTTGCCAAGATGAATAACACTTTAACTGTTGTAATAAAGCACATACCTCTCTTGAGCACAACCAAGTTCCCCCAAGAATCTCTTCATCCAGATCAATTCTTTGCAAGCTTCAACAACCGCAATAAGCTTAGCCTCTGTAGTAGATAAAGCAACACATTTTTGCAACCTAGATTGCCAAGACACAACTCTCCCTACAAAGGTAATCAAGTAGCCTGAAGTAGACTTACGAATATCAATGTCACCGGCCATGTCTGAATCAGTGTAACCACAAAGAATAGGATTCCATGTACCAAAATACAAACTCAGACTAGAAGTGCCACAAAGATATCTCATAATCCACTTTACAGTATTCCAATGCTCTCTTCCCAGATTAGAAAGAAAATGACTAACAATACCAACAGCATGAGTAATATTTGGTCTTGTACACACCATTGCATACATTAAACTACCAACAACTGAAGCATAAAGAACTTTCTTCATATCTTCCTTCTCACCATCACAAGAAGGACAATGTCTAGTACTCAATTTGAAGTGCATAGCTAAAGGTGTAATGATAACCTTAGCTTTGTCCATGTTAAATCTACGAAGTACTTTTTGAATGTACTTTTCTTGTGACAACCACAATTTCTAGGTATCTCTATCACGGACAATCTATTTTGCTGGTCCCAAGTCTTTCATAGCAAAAAACTTATTCAACTTTTGCTTCAACTTTTTAATCCTGCAAGTATTATGACCAACAACAAGCATGTCATCAACATAAAGCAAAACGATAATGAAGTCATCATCAGAGAATTTTTGCACAAAAACACAATGGTCTGAAGAAATCTTCTTGAAGCCTGCTGACTCATAAAAGAACCAAACTTTATGTACCATTGCCTGGGAGCTTGTTTTAAACCATACAAGCTCTTCTTCAACTTGCAAACATAATTCTCTTTTCCCTTGACTTCAATGCCTTCCGGCTGCTCTGTATAAATTTCTTCATCTAAGTCACCATGGAGAAAAGTAGTTTTAACATCCATCTGTTCAACCTCCAAGTCCAGACTTGCAGCCAAGCCTAGAACCACACGGATGGATGACATCTTCACAACTGGAGAGAATATCTCATCAAAATCAATTCCCTTTTTCTGGTTAAAGCCCTTCACAACTAATCTAGCTTTGTACCGTGGAATCGGGTTACCATCTTCATGTTTCACCCTAAAAACCCACCTGTTTTTCAAAGCTTTTCGATCTTTAGGTAACATGACCAAATCAAATGTATGATTATCATGTAGAGACTTCATTTCATCCTCTATAGCATCAAACCACATTTTTTTCTTCACTTTCCATGGCTTTATCAAGACTCTCTGGTTCTCCCCCGTCAGTCAAGAGTACATACTCATTGGGAGAATAACGAGATGAAGGTATTTTCTCTCTAGTAGAGCTTCTGAGAGAACTCTCGGGAGCATCAATAATAGTTGGTTGCTCACCAACTACATCGTCTTGCACTGGAGCATCAACGACATACTGGTCATTCTAAATATGATCATTATCTTCAATATCAATTTGAAGATTATCACCTAATGGAATAGTCAGAGGCACCGGATCAACATCAACTAGGCTCTCACTAGTCTAAGAATCAACTTTCTCAGCTTTGTCAAGATCTTCAATTGTTTGGTCTTCAAGAACACAATATCACGGCTTCTAACAAGTTTCTTCTCAACTAGATCAAATAAACGATAGGCGAATTCATCTTGACCATAACCAACAAAGATACATTGCCTAGTTTTAACATCCAACTTTGACCTCTCATCCTTAGAAACATGCACAAAGACTTTACACCCAAAAACTTTAAGATGATCATAAGAAACATTCTTACCAAACCAAACTCTGTCAAGAACATCACTATTCAAAGTAACAACAGGAGATAAATTGATAACATAGGCAGCAGTATTAAGTGCTTCTGCCCAAAAGGAATCTGGCAGCTTAGCATATGGCATACATCTAACCCTCTCAACAAGAGTTTTGTTCATCCTCTCTACCAAACCATTTAGCTGAAAAGTCTTTGGAGGAGTTTTCTGATGCCGAATACCCTGCTCTCTGCAATATCTATCAAAAGGACCAATATACTTACCGCCATTATCAGAACGGATGCATTTCAATTTCTTCCTTGTCTGTCTCTCAACCAAGGCTTGAAATTCTTAAACACATCAAGTACCTGATCCTTGGACTTCAAAGAGAATACCGAGAGTTTGCGAGAATGATCATCAATAAAAGTCACAAAGTAAAGTGCACCACCATGAGACTTTACCTTAAAAGGACCACACAAATCAGAATGTACCAACTCCAGCAAATCAAGCTTTCTTGAAGGCAGATGACTCTAAAAAGAAACTCTTTTCTATTTACCGGCTAAGCAATGAACACACTTGTTCAACTTTGCTTGTTTCACTCCGAAAAACAAATTCTTCTTAGCCAAATTGTCCATCCCCTTCTCGCTCATATGACTCAGTCTTCTATGCCATAACAATGATGAAGTATCATTCTCCACCACATTTACTAAGCCTCTGAGAATGGAGCCCTGAAAAACGTACAAGTTAGACAACTTGTCATCATGGGCTACCACCATCGAACCTCTGGTAAGCTTCCACTGGCCAGCACCAAGGGTATTAACATAACCTTCATCATCAAGGTATCCAAAAAAAATCAAATTCAGGCGGACATCTGGAGCATGCTTGACATTATTGAGAACTAGTTTGGAACCATTATTACTTTCCAAACAAACAGTCCCAATACCAAGAACCGCAATCTCATTATTATTGCCCATTTTCAACATCCCAAAATTACCTGGAGTATAAGAAGAAAATAATTCCTTCTTGGGCGTGACATGAGAAGTAGCACCAGAATCCACAAACCAGCTAGACTCATCGCAAACAAGATTAACGACATTTTCATCACAAGAAACAAGAAGGTCATCGTTAGCAACAACAACAACACGATTTTCATTATTGCCTTCTTTCTTTTGTTGTTTCATATCTCTCTTGTACTTGAAATAATATTTCTTGATATGCCCATTCTTGTGGCAATAGTCACATGTAATATTCTTGAATCTGGACTTTGACTTTCCTTTATTTTTATCTTTGTCATTCTGACCTCTAAACTTGCTTCTCCCCGTGTCTTCAATAACCAAAACATCGGAATGTGAAGTAGAAGAAGATGAGCCTTGAGATCTTCTTCTCATCTCTTCATTCAAGACACCACTCTTAAGCATATTCCATGGTCACAACACCACTGGGAACATAATTAGTCAAAGAAACTCGAAGAGTTTCAAAAGAGTCTGGTAGAGTATTAAGAAGCCATAGTCCCTGAATTTTTTCATCGAATTTTACACCCATTCCGGACAGCTAGTCAAGAATACCCTGAAAATCATTGATATGATCAGAAATAGGAGTGCCCTCTTTATACCTGATGTTCATCAATTGCTTCAAAAGAAACAATTTAGTGTTGCCAATCTTCGAAGCATATAGTGTCTCGAGCTTATCCCACAAACTTTTGGCATGTGTCTCATTCACAATGTGATTTCTAACATTATCTTCAACCCATTGTCAAATATAGCCACAAACCTTTAAATGCTCAAATTCCCAATCATCATCACTCATAGATTCGGGTTTATTAGAAGCAGACACAGGTAGATGCATTTTCTTGACAATAGAAGATCTTTCATCTTGCCTTTCCAAGTATGATAATTACTACCATTCAATCAAACCATCTTGCTCATATTTGACTCCATCATTCAAATAGATAATCAACAGCAAATCAATACTCTGATACCACTTTGTTGGGAAAGTAAGTACAAAATAAATGTGTACGACAGGGCTATAGTGGAAGAAAACCCAAGTCAAAACTTTCCCTTCTACTTGAACCAAGAGAAGACAAAATAATGCAGAAAAAACAGTTTGAGGCAGCAAACAAATCAACCAAGCAAGAAAAATAAATCAACACATGAGACACCAAAGTTTAACGTGGAAAACCTCTTCGGTGTGAAGAGTAAAAACCACAAGGCCAAAGCTCCACTATAATCAACAAGAGTTACAAAAATGTTCTCCAAAATGGTCACCAACAAAGTGCCAAACAATGAGCAACACAACTACAAGATAGCACCAAAAACTAGAGAAAGAAAAGAAGCAAAAACACGAAACCGCAGCTACTGTTCATGAGCTAAAATCTGGAGCTACAGGACTCCAAATCACCCTCTCTCAGTTCCCAATCAAATATTAAGTTGAAAAGAACAAGCTTTCCAAAAAACAGTTCAATCGAACAAGAAACGAAGCGGGAATCGCGATTTGAAATTGGCTGCTAAGGCTTGTGCGAAAATCTGCTTTCTCTCACTATTCTCTCTATATGGCTGCTCTCAAACTCTTGTGATTCTTCTTAAATAAGACCTAAAAGAAAGTCTTACATATGCACCATAATATTGGGCTTATGGGCAAAGTGGGCTAGTCAAATTTGGGCTAAATTTATTCACAAAGGAAAGAAAGGAAGACCCAAAACCTTGGACTTTTATTTATCCACATAGGAAGGGAAAAAAGCCCATAACCCAACGCATAAGTAATCACTTCAACTTGTATAAAATTGTACAAATAGACACACATCCCATGTGACATCTTACGTGACAATATTCATCATACATGGTATTCTATGTGTGTTATGTCACGTCATGTGTGTCTACCTATTCAATTTTATACAAGTTAAAGTACCTACTTATACATGTCCAAAGTTGGAAGGCATTAATATAAAATGAGGTCAAGTTAAAAGTCATATTTATGTATTATGCCAAAATTAATTTTCTCTCTACTAAGACACCCAACATCTTCTTCTTAGCTATGGTCTCGTCTTAACCGTGGCGTTGATATCTCCGACTTGAAAGGAGATAATTTAGGATTTAAAAAATATATGAAATAAATAAATTAATATATCAACTAATAGAGTCATTATATATGTCAAATACATGAAAATTTTATGGCCATATGCACCTAGAAACATTTGTAAACAAACACATTATACGATAACACAAAATTTGGCACTAATTTTAATGAATGAACAAATGACAAACTCAGAATAAAATATTCCACACCCTACTTAATTCTTAAATCCCCCATTTCTTAAATTGAGTTCTGTAATTTTTAAATAATTTCTCCACACATAAATTTTAGACATAATAAATACTCATGATTCTTAACTTGACTTCAGTTGACAATTATGACATTTAATTTTGGGTATATATAAATAGACATTTAAATTTGTATAAAATGTAAGCAAATAGACATATTCGTCATGCATGATGTCCTACATGACAATTTATCTTTTTACGTGTCGTCCTACATGTATTATGCCACATAGGACATGTGTGTCTACTTGTTCAATTTTATACAAGTTTAAGTATCTGCTTGTCACACCCAAAATTGGAAGACACAAATGTCAATTGAAGCCAAATTAAATGACATATTTGTGTATTATGCCTAAATTTTACTAAAACGTGTAATTTTTAAATAATTGCCTAATTTCTAAATACTAGAAAAAACAGGATTTAAAAAAAATAATTAAAATTCTTGAGTAAAAAACATTTTCAGTAAATTTTAGGTTTAACAAACATAAAAATCATATTAACGCTCTATAGTTATAGTTTTGCTATTTGCGCTCCATTAGCAAACATGGAGCATCATATTTGTATAAATCGCACGCAGGCATCTCGTTTGTATAAAAACGCAACGATTGTATATGTATATTATTTAGATAATTGTTTGAGGTAATATCTCAGATGATCACTCAACTATGAACTTTTTTCTCAAAAAGTCACTCAACTTTGGTTTTTAACTCAAAAGTCAATCAACTATAAGTTCGTTTCTCAGAAAGTCACTCAACTATGATTTCTTTACTCAAAAAATCACTCAACTTTGATTTTTAACTCAAAAGTCAGTCAACTACGAGTGTTCTACTTACAAAGTCACTCAACCATGATTGTTTTACTTACAAAGTCACTCAACCACGAGTGTTTTACTTAAGAAGTCACTCAACCTATTCAACTAATTTTTAAAAAAATAATATTTACTTGCATCAAATCTTTCTTTCTAAGATTTTAAAAAAAAAAGAAGATAAATAAGCATCCATGAACTGCCAATTATACTATGCTTAAAAAATTATCTAACCTCGTCAGTAAACTATGCTTAAAACATTATCTAACATCGTCAGCATACTATGCTTAATTTTTTTTTCAAACTGTATCGATGTTCCTATAAACACAAATTAAACATAGTGTAGAAATTTAAAGGTTCTTAAAATAATAAATCCTAACTATTAAATTTGGGGAAAAAGGTAAAAGAAAAGGGTCACTATTATAACTTTAGCAGATTGAGTTAAGGAGGTGGGTCATCTTTTTACAATTTTAGTTAGAAATAAAAAATTTCATCCAAGTAAATTTTAATTTTAAAAAATTAATTAAATAAGTTGAGTGACTTTATAAGTAAAACACTCATAGTTGAGTGACTTTGTAAGTAAAACACTCATAGTTGAGTGACTTTGTAAGTAAAACACTCATAGTTGAGTGACTTTGTAAGTAAAACACTCATAGTTGAGTGACTTTGTAAGTAAAACACTCATAGTTGAGTGACTTTGTAAGTAAAACACTCATAGTTGAGTGACTTTGTAAGTAAAACACTCATAGTTGAGTGACTTTGTAAGTAAAACACTCATAGTTGAGTGACTTTGTAAGTAAAACACTCATAGTTGAGTGACTTTTGAGTTAAAATTCAAAGTTGAGTCACTTTCTAAGAAAAGAACTCGTAATTGAGTGACCTTCTAAAAAAAATTCGTAGTTAAGTGCCTTTTGAGTTAAAACCCAAAGTTAAGTGACTTTTTGAGAAAAAAAGTTTATAGTTGAATGATCATCTGAGGTTACCTCATAATTGTATATATGTAATTACTATGTATATGTATCAATGATTGTATTTGTATATCTGCATAGAATTTGAATTTGTATACAATTGAATCAAAATAAAACATTTTTATATCAAATCTCTCTCGCTTTAACAACACAAATTATACATTGTAATTTGTATAATTTGTGTTTGTATAAAGCGAGAAAGAGAGAAAGGCAAAAGAGAACTGGTAGGGGAAGATCTGTGTTTGTATAATTATTAGTGTATATGACAAATATATATATATATATATTTGTATTTGTATATACAATTTTTTCGCTTTATACAAACACAAAAATAATTTATACCTTTGTATTTGTATAAAATCAGAGAGCCGAGGGTGAGTGGGGAGGAAAATTTTTGGGGAGAGAGAGGCAAATAACAAGTGTTTGCTACAAATTAGAATTAAATGAAACTATAGTTATAACATTTAATTTAAATTAATAATTTACTATTTTATACTATATTACCAATTTTTTTTTTTAATCCGTCCATATCTGTTTCTTTCTCAATTGTTTGAAACGGAAAAACATCCTGGTAAAATTGCAGCTGCAGTTTGTACCGATCATAAAAATGGCGGCTAAGAAGCGAAGCAGCCGAATTAGTTCCAGCTCGAGCTCCAGCTCAAGCCACCGATCCGAAGCATTCAAGCCTTCATCGCCCGACTCAGTAAAATCTCAGACGAATCGCCATCGTTGGCTCATCACCATCTTCTTCACTCTGTTCTTCATAATTTCATTACTAATTTACTGTCAAAGATACTACTACTACTACACTGCTACCACTGTTGTTGTTGATGTTGAGAAGCCCTATGTTTACCAGCGTGGACTTGTTAAAGTCGATTCGACTTACTGTGAAGTAATCGATGTAATGTATTCAATACTCTCCCCAATTTGATTTCTTTAGTTTTATAACAATTTTTTTTGATTTATTTGGTGAATTTTTAAGAATTGCAGGAGAATTTGAATGTTTCGGAAAATATTAGTCAGAGGCATTTTGGGAATCCTGTTCTGGCCTATATTACTCCGTGGTATTTGCATTTGTTGATTCATGTTTTGTTATTCCCAATTTGTATATGTCGATATCCATCTTATTGTTTGTTTGTTTTTGACTTGATATGAAGCTTTAGAAAAAATAAAAAACTCTTGAATCTTGTGGTTAGAATTTACTAGAATGTCCTTTAATTTCGTGATCTTAAACATGTCAAGCGGCGGAAAACTGAAATTAAATAGTTGACACAAAAGGAGAGAGGTACTCTTTGTGAAATGGACTAAAAATGAAAGTAAGGCAAACATATTGAAATGGAAGTAGTAGTAGACTATAATACCTTGTCTTGGTGATCTTCAAAATGTCATGTACTTAAACAGGAAAACTGTTGGTTTTCAACTTCGCCTTGGGTTGTAGTAGGTTAACAGCTAATCTATAAGTAGTTGAATAGGTAATGGAGATTTCTATAGTTGGCCCCAACTATTTTGGGATGGTTTTCCTTTTTATCTTTTTATTTATCATGAATGGGGGAATCATTACACATAGTATGCCCGATCAGCGTATTTTTTGTTTTACGCCCCATAACTCTTCCTTAGCCAGGCTTGGGCAGAATAGCAGAGCAAGTATTAGTAGCATAACAAAAAACCCTTCCTCGTCATTAATATCTTTGCTCGCAGCAATTGTGACCTCTCGGGAGAATCGATGACTGCATCAAAGATGCAGTTCTAGTACATCTGAGACTTCTTAATTGGCTAGTTGTAAATAGCCCCAGGGCTATGGAACATAGGATTATCTTGGACCTGGACCGAGGTATTGATGGTGATTTTCTAATCTCACAGAACAAAATGTGATACGATGAGATAGGAGGAGTTTTGTAGTAGTTTGTTTTTTAAGCAAGGGGATGTAATGTCCTGACCTGAAAATTAGAACTTTGAGTACGGTGAACTTTTTACTAGCTTGTTTATGTTCATTTTGGCATGAAATTGTACTTAGTAGAAAATTCATAGAACTGCCGATACCCCTTCTCCAATCTAGCTACCTGCTAAAAGAAATTGTTTTGACACTGATAGATGCAGTTTTGGAGTCTACAGTTCATGACGGTATGATCAATGGTGCAGGAATTCAAAAGGCTATGATGTGGCAAAGAAGTTCAGTTCTAAAATTACGCATTTGTCACCTGTTTGGTATGAACTGAAGAAGTAAGTGAACTCGTTATTACCTTAACTTTCATATAGTAAGAGTACCTTGGAGATACGTTGAAGCGTGATGCAGTTAGCTGAAACTATGTGATCTCTTGCCATTCAATTGGCTCTGTGACATTTTCTATGGGATGATAATATCAAAAATCTGATCCTTCTCTTGAGAAGAGAGACTAGGGTATTAGATTTAGTTTTATTTTGTTGTTTTTCTTTATAACCACCAGGTCATTGCTGCTTTCAAATAAAGGAAAACAATCAATCTAAGTTTAATTAACTATAGGAATTAGTACTGATTTAGCGGGACTGCAATATCAGGAATACAGTTCAGACTCTTATTATCATGAAACTGTTTAATATCTTTACCTCTGGTACTTTCTGGTGCCAGTGAAGGAAGTAAATTAGTTCTGCATGGAAGACATAATGCTGATAGAGGATGGATTTCAGACATTCGAATGAAAGGAAATGCTCTGGTATGGTAGCCAACCACATTGAACTATATATTATTGCAGATACTTAGTGTAATTTATGGCACTTATACAACTAGAGCATAGAGAAGAGAACTAAAGGCGGAAACATGATTTTATCAGGAGTCAAATTTGGGGTGACATATTGGATTATTTGCTTTGAATTCATTCATTGACGACTGTATCTTAATTCTAGCAAACCAAGGGGCTTGGGGGTTGGTGTGTGTGGACTGTGGGGAGGTGGTGGTGGGGTGTGTGTGTGTGGGAGGTGGGGGGGGGGGGGGACGGA